TATATTAAAAATTTTGTTTTTTAATGGCTTATATTCCATTGTACATATGTAACACCTCCTCTTTATCCATTCATCCATTGATGGACGCCAGGCTGCCTCCATATCTTGGCCATTGTAAATAATCCTGCAATGAACATACAGAAGCTCATGTCCCTTTGAAGTAGTGTTTTGCGTTTCTTCAGATAAATACCCAGAAGTGGGATTACTGGGTCCTTCTTTGTCTCTTGTTATAGACTTTGTTTTAAAGTCTATTTTGTGTACTCTAAGTATTGATACCCTAGCTTTTTGGTTTCCATTTTCATGAAATACCTTTTTCCCATCCCTTTACTTTCAGTCTGTGTGTATCTTTCAATCTGAAGTGAATCTCTTGTAGGCAGCATATGTAAGAGTCTTGATTTCTTACCCATTCAGCCATCCTGTTTTTTGATTGAAGCATTTAATCCATTTACATTAAAAGTAATTGTTGGTAGATATGTAGTTATTGCCATTTTAGTGTTCATATTTTTTTCTTCTTTTTAAAGAAATCCTTCTAAGATTCCTTGTAATACTGGTTTACTGGTTTGCTAGTTATGAACTCCTGTAGCTTTTTCTTGTCTGGGAAGCTCTTTATCTGTGCTTCAAGTCTAAATGATAACCTTGATGAATAGAGTAATCTTGGTTGTAGGTTCTTGCTTCCATCATGTTGAATATTTTCTGCCAATCCCTGCAAAATTTCTGTTGAAAAATCAGCTGACAGTCTAATGGGAGGTCCCTTGTACATAACTAACTGCTTTTCTCTTGCTGCTTTTAAGATTGTCTTTAGGGGCCGGCCGAGTGGTGCGTTGGTTCAGAGCTGGCTTGGGATGCCAGCTCTGAGCAGCAGGGCCCCAGTTCGGATCCCACATGGGGGTCAGTGACACTGCCCTCTACAGCTAAGATGATGAACAGCTCGACCTGGAGGTAGGCTGTTGTGAGTCGCCAGCGACGGCGTAGGCTACAGCCCCAGCTGCAGTGGGCTGCCATGTTACCGTGTGTGGCTGGCAGCCAGCGTGAGCGGCTGGCAGCTGGTGTGAGCTGCCAAGAGCCACCATGAGCAGCCATCCAGAGGCTGGCAACCCATCTGCCTCACCCAGGAAGAGCGCAATGATAATACCAATATGGGCCAGTGAAGCAACGTCCTGCACAACTAGACTGAAGCAAACAACAGCAACTTGTCTGTTCCCCTTCCCCCGATTCCCCAGTGCTGTTCCCCTCCCCCAATTCCCCAATAAAATCTTAAAAAAAACACTGTCTTTAACTTCTGCCATTTTAACTATGATGTGCCTTGGCGTGGCCCTCTTTAGGTTCATCCTGTTTGGGACTCTGCACTTCCTAGGCTTGTATGTCTATTTCTTTTGCCAGCTTAGGGAAACTTTCATTCATTATTTCTTCAAATAGGTTTTCAATTCCTTGCTCTCTCCTGTCCTTCTAGTATCCTTATGAGAATGTTGGTGAACTTGATGTTGCCTCAGAGGCCCCTGGAACTACCCCCCAATTTTTTTTTTCTGTTCTGATTGAGTGTCTTCCAAACTGCTGATTCAATTCTCTGCTTCATTTAATCTGCTGTTGATTCCCTCTAATGTACTCTTTAGTTATTGTATTATTTATTTCTGACTGGTTCTTTTTAATTTTTTTCTATCTCCATTTTTATGTTTCCTATCTTTTTGTTGAAGTTCTCAATGAGATGATTGAGCATCCTTATAACCAGTGCTTTTTGAACTCTACATCAGGTAGATTGCTTGTCTCCATTTTTTAAATTTCTTTTTCTGGAGCTTTGTTCTATTCTTTCATTTGGGACACGTTTCTTGGTCTTCCCATCTTGGCTGCCTCTTGGTGTTTGTTTCTATATATTAGGTAGAGCTGCTATGTCTTCTATTCTTAGTAGAGTGGCCTTATGAAGGTGTCAGTGGTGCAGGTGTGTCCCTTGGGTGGGTTGTGTGTGCCCTCCCAAATATAGTCTTAAAGTGTTAAACTGTATTATCTTAAAACAAAATGGCATTCCTCCTTTAAATCTGCCATATGCTTATATTGTCAATCTTGCTTTTTAAAGCAATCCGTGCTCCCATAACATTATAGAAATGATTTTTGTGTGTAGCAGAAAATGTTAGCATTGCATTTGTACTTGACAAATCAAAGTCAATCCTAAATTTCACTATTGTATATCTTCAATTCAGTTCTAGTCTCTGGCTACACTTACTCTCCAAATGATCTCACTCATGTCCTGACTCAAAAATAGGGAAATACACCAATCATTCTTGATTCTTCTTTCTCATACCCCACATGCAATCCATCAGCTTATACTATTGGCTGTATCAAAATATATTCAGAATCTGACCACTTATTTCCATTGTCCTCAGCCTCATTCAAACTATACCATTTCTCATCTGGATTACTGTATTACCCTCCTAATACTACCCACTTCTATCCTTACTTTGATCAGAGCTTTCCACCTCACTCAATGAAAGTCTGTCTTTTTCTCCTTGAGTGCTCTTCTCCCAGATATGCACATGGCTCAATTGTTCACTTCTTCAGGTCTCTGCTCAGCGTTACTTTATCAGTGTATACTCTACTTAAAATAGCAACACCATACTCATACACTCCCAAGATCTCTTCTTTGACATACTTGCCCTTCATAACCTTGTTACCCTATCATAAACTATATATTTTACTTACCAATTAAAATGAAAGTCCTGTAAGGGTCAGAAAAAATTGTCTATTCTGTGCCCTGCTATATACTGAGGCCTAGAACACTTCCTGACATATAGATGCTTGGGATTTATTAAACTATTTAGTCCAAGAGGAATATGAGTAAGTCTGATTATAAAAATAAACGGTAGAATAGGAAATCCAAAACATTGCAGTTTATACAAGGTGAAAAATTTGTTGAAAAAAAAAAAAAGAGAACTATTTTAACTAATTGTTTTTTATTCAAATATCAAGGTGTATTCATTTAACATTTACTGTGTTGTGTATACATCCCTGTTTGAATTTTGTAACAATACTGGTACGTATTATTATCACTATTTTACAGAAGATGAAACCGAAGATGACAAAGGTCAAGTGACATGTCTAAAAGTGACATAACAAGGATGTTGCAAAGAGGAAACCAACTAAGGTTTCTCTGAAATACTTCTATAAACTCTCTCTTTCAATATTCAAAGTAATTTCAGGAAATGATATATATCCAAAACAGGTAAGGTTTCTACATTTGTAGATAAAAATAACTGTATGAATTTGCTATAAGCCATTTCATTTGCATGATAGGATAATATAGGTAAAGTACTCGAGGTAAACTAATTCCACTTAATTCAATATTCACAAAAATTAATTTTGCTAAATTTAATAAATTAATAATACTGTCTCAAATCAAAAGTTGTTCAAATAAGTATTAAATAGTCTTTCATCTCTCATGGTTCAAATGCATTTGGTAGCAATCATATGAAAGCAAATTTTCTTTTCACCTTCAAAAATGTAAAAGGCTTTTATCCACAATCTATTTTCCACATAGAAAAATAAGTTAGGGATAATAGTAACACTCAATTTACACACACACACACACACACACACACACACACACACACACACGAGTTTGGGGTAAATCAATCTGGCTTTGTACATATCCATTTGGCTTATTTTTGTTAGCTTTTAAAAATAATTATAAGTACCATTATTTTAATATTTCATAATATCCACAATTTTATCGTAATACTTAAAACAATCCATAAAGTATGTATAACAACTTTCATTAATACTTTAAAGCTGAGAAAGCCAAAATGCAGAAAGATAAAACTTCTTTTAAATGATACAATTTAGGGAAAAACTAAGAAATTTTTAATAAAACTATTTTACTATAACTCGCCCACTTATGGACCATAGATCCATAAAATAAATACAACAAAGCTCCAATAATATTGGCATGGTAAGACAAGATCCCATACTCACATTAAAGTCTAACCTTATTATTGGATATATTAATATTTTAAAGAACATTTAACACATGGTAAGTCAGAATCCATGCAAAAATGAGCCATATTATAAAAGGTTCTAATAAATTACAGACAAGCGCACAAAATTAAAAAAATAAATGGTCAAACTAATAACAGCTGGTCTAGGAAAGGAGCAAAGGGAAGCACTATCTGTATAGGCTACAAAAGATTGTAAGGTGGATATAGCAAATTTATGATCTTTTTATTAAGATTGGTGTTTGGGAAAACGTAAATAAATTGTGCTTTAAAAGATCTAAAGTTTGTTTCAGTGAAGAAAAAGTTCACTAGAACAATCTATACAATTAAAGAGTGAATTAGTGATAATTCACCTAAGGCTTGGAGTAGAAATTCATTTTTCCACAATCTCTAATCTATATAAATTTACCATAAATTAGACTGCTTTTAGGGCTTTCACAGTACTACTCATAGGAAACTAGGTCTTGTTAACAAAAGAGACCAAGTCTTAAGCAAAATTTTTGTCTGGTTGTTACCAGTTATGGAAGTACAGTAATAAAACTACATTCATTAAAAAATTCTATGATCCAGAATATTTAATAATTCAGACTACCCTTTCCTAGTGAGGAAATCAATGAGATTTTGCTGTTATTTCTCCTCTCCTGAAGAGAAAAACGAACGCTTCCTGAAAATGTTTCCTTGTAATGATTTCTAGTATCACTCAAGAAGTAATACTTCCTCAAGAAGGTAGAAGTCTCTTTAAGAATAAGGATTCTTTTTTAGGAATAAGATTAAGAGATAATTTTGCCTTTTCTTAGTCTAACAAAGAAATACATTTAAATTATGTATTAAAATGTCCCCAGTTTATATGATGCTTTAGACACTTGGTAAGCATATGAAAGATGTACTACAAAACTTTAGCCTATTGGAGCCTTAAAAGCCCCAACAAAATTTTATCAGACTTCGAATTGTTATCACAACAGTTTTAAGTACACTTCTATAAGAGATAGGTAAAACAAATTAAGTCAACATTCTTACTGTTTGCTTCTCAAGCTGAGCACACAATAAATTTCAGTAAGTCCTTTCATAATTTCACATTAACAATTAGGCAGAAAGAACATGTTCTGTTGAAGAAATACTTAGTTCAAATTGGATGTTTCATTGCTAATATGCTTCATGTTCTGAATCTAAGCTATGCTACAAAACTTGTATGCCTTAAGAACTCTAATTATCTTAAAATTCTACTCTCCTCCTCCCCTCCCTGCAAAAAGTAGTGACAAATATGGTTTAAGATAAATTTTTGGTTCACTAGATGAAAAGGCATTTGTATTTCAAAGAAATACTCTCGGGTTAATCTAACATCCCCATAGAAGGCCCTCAAACTCCAGTTTAAGAAACACTAATCCAGAGTATTTTAAACAGAGTAAAACCCAAATCAACAAAACCTATACGTTATACATAAAAATACTATTACTGTCAAAATGTTTTATGTCAAGAATTTTACCAGCAGCATTTGAAAAAGATCATTAGACAATAAAAGATAAATACTGTAACACAGAAAGATCAGCATAGACACCAGTTTTTATCTCCAATTCAGATAAGACTATGTTAACCTGAATTCCTGGCAATTACCTAAGCATACCAGACCTTGTTAAAGATTACTGGCTCCGAGGGGTGGGGGGACGTCCAGCCTCTCCATCCTCTCACAGTTGAAATGACACCTGGCTCCATTTTCTTCCAGTAGTATTACATTTGTATGCTATTCTATAAGAAGCAAGTCGTTTCCAATTATTAAAGCACCATTGAGTATTTCATCCTATACAAAGGAAATAATTCTGAAAATTTTACAACAGGATTCCTGGGAAGGCACTTAAAGCTAACTAATTAAAAGAAGATCCACAACAGTTAGGAGACTTCTTTATACTGCAGGTTCCATAATACTGTCCTCTTTGCTTATATCATTTAACCTCTTGATCCTAAGTTTCCCAATAAATTAAATGCTGTTCAAATATAAATTAGGCAAGAGAAGAAGGGACAAGGCCACATTCTGACTGACAAATGAGTAAATTTGCCTCCAAAGTATGTGAATCTTATGACTTCCAGGAGGTAAGAGAATTAGGAGGAGCAGGAGAGTAAAGCAAGCATGGCCTGAGTGGGGTTGGGCTCTCAAGGGAAGAGAGTTTCATTTCAGTTTTCAGATTCAAAAAGTCTTAAAGGTATCTTTGGATAAGTAAGCCAAGTAAATAGTTTCACGTATTTTATTTTTTTAAAGGTCATCTATAAGTTTTGAGTGTTTCTTGTTTTACTCAATTAGTGAAGATCACAAAACCATTACCATTATTTATTCAGGCTACAAAATGGCAACCTGTAAGATTTCACCTAAATTACATGTTTTGGAATTAATCAAAAATGGGCAATATGCTTCAAGTTTAAAAATACCACCTTGGAGAGGAGAGTCAAATTATAGAGATTCAAATGTCTAAAAATCTAAATGTTTTACTTATAATAAACTTGGTATTAAAATATCATCTATGATGTTAAACCATAAAAATCTTTAAAATGCTATTCTCACTTAAGTAATCAATACTGAAAATCAATCATTAAATAAATTCACCATCAAAAATCAACATTTACCTCAAATCCCAATAGAAAAGTCCTCATTATGAAAAAATATTCTATTTACTTCTCTCCAACTCATACAACGAAACTAGGAATGTTACTGAGGTTGTGACTTGACTGTTAATGTGAACAAAGTTTTCATATCTCTGGGATATTGGATGGTTTGAAAAGGAATGTACAAACAGCCCTGCTGCTAGTCCAAAAAACGCCTTTTATGTGAATTAGAAAAGCCTGTCCTTTTCTCAAGATACTTTATTGCCAACAGTCAGAAAATTGTGATAATTAGCAATACTGTGATTGTGCTATTGTAAATGGCACCCTTGATTTGTGTGCAATTATGTCCAGAATTCTTTCATGATTCCTTATTGTATTACTTTCTTTTCCTATATATCGTAACTAAATCTACATCAGAGCTAAGGTTCTTTTAAGATAAAAAGAAGGGGGCAGAGCCTTGACAAACTCCCTATATCACAAAATGAGTTAAAGGGATCTACATATACCACTGATAACAATGATGATGATACAACTTCAAAACTGGTCTTAATTCTCTCATAAGGCTGTGACTTGTCTGATTCTGAGACGATTAATATATGAACCTTGCTCTTTCAAATATAAATGGAATTTTTTAACTGATGGAATACAGAAAACTTAAAATTCACATTAAGAATATACATGCAATGCTGATTTATGCTTATCGACAATGCTAGTTAATCGTTAGAAAACAAAGTAACTGGACATCATCTTTCCAATTCTAAACTTTTCAGATAAACTATGTGCATAAGACCTTGGCAGCTTTCACAGAAAACCAGAGCTGAAAGTTAGAGCACTTCCAGTACTCAAAAATATATCAGTTGCATCAGAAAATCATTATGCCAGAAGTCAAGGCCAAGAAGTGTCCTTCCTAATTAAGCAGAGATGAATACAATAAGCCATACCATCATCAGACCACATCGCCAAATATTAAGATTGTTTAAAATCTTTAAAATTCCACAAATTCATGATGAACAGAACCTCGGAAATTCAAAAATTAAAATTTACAAAAATAAATACCACTCTGACACTCAAGGGACATCTTCACTTAAGGCCTTTGTCACAAATCTGAATCTTTATTGTTCTGAAATAAAAGTTATAAACATAACTCAAAACAAAAACTTCAATATTCAGTCTCAGAAGAGGTGTGGCTCAAGGCCCATCACATGTAACAAGAAAACTTCCTTTAAAAAAAAAGGAAAAAAAAGTACTATGAGAAGTCTTTCATATGAATAAAAATGCATCCTTTGGAATTTTTTTTCCCCTCATCTCATTAGCTTGTATACATGTAGGAATCAAAAGGTTTGCATTTTCTTCACAATAGTTCTTGCTAGGATGTTTGACGGACCTTTTGCCATTCCACAAATTCATCAAGAAGAACAGGCCCTAGAAATAAAGAAACAGTTTTTGTTAGAATTCAGTGAACTCATCTCTCCAACTATAAACTAAACTCCCCACAAGCTCTGTGACGGTTAGGGCACTGACCCTTCCCCTTTTCGAGTGTCTTGCTTCCAGCCTCCCTCTTCTACTTAATGATGCTTTCTTAGCCTTTTCTTTTTTGACATTAGGGACTTTGCACAATGGATATTTGTAGCAACTTCCTTCTCAAGGTTTAAGTGTTTCATGAACTCTCCAATAACTAAATCAATATTAACCTCTCTCTTGTCCTAACTGCCCACAGCATTTGCCATTTAATAATTAAACAACTGAAAGTGTTACATGTAACACTCCTATGGTACCTCACATACGCAAGAAGTGCAAGATGTGCGTAAGCTTGTTGAAGGAGTAGCCATATTAGAGACTTACACTGTTTCAGTAACAGAACCTACTATAAATTGAACACAAAGCAATGCCTAATAAATACCTGACCTAAGAACTATTCTAAAGAGATATTTTTATCACGAAGGGGGTCCAAAGTCATTTACCTACAGAAGCCAGGTAGGCAATTTAAATGAGCTCACTGTTACCTCTTTTAATGCAGGAAAACTCATTGACACAAAGAAATATGCTTGCCCTATTTTTATTGAAATGTACATCCCTGTGGTGGTCTCTATTTTTCTCTTGCTTTTGACAGATTGTAAGAAAACCAGCAAACAAGCACAATAAATGTCAACTGAAAAGCAGCCTAGTTGTTGGCATATGTGGACCAGCAAACTGGAAATCAAGTCCAACATAAGCCACTAATTCCTATGAAAGAATACAGGTTTTAGAAAAAGTTTTCAAATTATATAACATCATAATGTTTTTCTATTATAGCTGATGCTTTATTTTCCTATTGTTTTAAATCATGATTGCACTTTTCTCCCATAGGAAAATGTCAGGAAAGGCAGAAATAAAGGATTTTAGCTTCTAGATGTATAGGAATTATAATTTAAATTAAGCTGTATAACACTCTGTTACTGAAATTGAAAACATTTTCAAAAACTGAAATCATTTACCAGCAAAGATTTTATATTGCTCAATCTAAGCTCTCTGCCTACCTTCTACACTGGCCTCCCCCACACTTCCCACATGATTAAATAATAAAAGTTAATGTTAGGAAGTTTAAATCCTTTATGGTAACATTAGACAAATGCATATTCTCATTTAATAGTTTAAAATTTTTATTTTCATAGGAAAACATTATACTATACTTACAAGCACCATCTTCATCATAGTTACTAAGATCAGCATGGACTGTTCTGCTGAATTCTAATACATTGTACCATTGATCTTTGTTCATAACACGATACTTTGATTGCTGTAGAAAATTATATAAAATTTGGATTACAGAACAAGCATTATTTATTAGGGTTTGACGTCAATAGATATAGTTTTAACATATTTTGTAATTTGGTCTTTCCAAAAACATTTATTCCTTTTTTAATTAAATTATTTGTGTTTCTAAGAAAATCCTCAGGGGCATTTACATGTTAATGTCACCAATTTATTTTTCCTTTATTTTTCTTTCATCTTTGAAGAATAACAAGAGCCTCACAGGTACTAATACTAAGGGTAAACTCAATGAATTTTTACCTATGTACATACTTGTGTAACCACCAATGAGATCAAGATATATAACATTTCCTACGTTCAGTAAGTTCCCATGTGCTGCTTCCCAGTAATTCATTTCTTTGCATGAGATTTATTATTTAGCTACATTTTGAATGTAAATGAAGTTGAATGTAAATGAAGTTGGTATCTTTGGAGACAGTGGGAGGGGTATAAGTGGGTTCAAATCACACTTCTGTCACTTAACTGAGTGACCTTAGGAAAGCTAGTTAACAACAGAGCCCATTTCTTCCTCATTTGCTAATGGGAATAAAATGTGATTCCAAATAGTGGTATAAAGATATGTCAAACACCCTCCACATAACAAGTGTTTGAAAATATTTAGTTCTCTGTTCCCCTTAGAGGTGAATATTTTTGCATTTTTCAGTTATATTTATTTTTGCCAAAACTTCTAATTGGAGGATAACATTCATCATAAACATCTATTTTATTAGGCTTAAAGAATTAAGTGTGCATAAAACCCATTCATATAAGATCTTTTCATACCATTGTTTCTTATCACAAGCTTTAATCATAACTATTCCGGAGAACCTGCTATAATAAACAATCAGCTTTATGAGAAATTATTTTCAAAGCAAAAAGCGGAAGCACCTGTAATTCAAGAAATGGTGAGAACTATACAAAACAAATACAAACAAAACTAAAATTGAAAAGGCACCAAAAAACATAGAAAACCAAAGAAAGCAATGGAAAAAAAAACACAAGGGCTGGCTGAGTGGCTAAGTTGGTTAAGAGTTCGTTAAGAGTGCGAGCTCTGGGCCAGCCGAGTGGCTCAACTGGTTAAGAGCTCGCTTGGGAGCACCAGCTCTGAGCAACAGGGTTGCCGGTTCGATTCCCGGCCCAAGCTGAGCTGCCACTGAGCTGCCAACAGGTGGCAGGATGGCTCAACTAAAACCAACCAAACAAAAACAACAAAAAAACCCCAGTATCTTCTTAAAACCACTTCTGATAGTAGGTGTTATGATAAAACTTCTAAAGGGCCAGTTGAGTGGAGCATTGGTTAAGAGCTGGCTTGTGATGCCAGAGGGCCCCAGTTCGGATCCCACATATGAGGGCCAGTGACACTGCCCTCTACAGCTAAGATGCTGAACAACAGCTCCACCTGGAGCTGGGCTGCCGTGAGTCGCCGGCGACGGTGTAGGCTGCAGCCCCTGTGGCAGTGGGTTGCTATGGGCGACTGTGTGTAGCCAGCAGTCAGCATGAGCTGCCAGCAGCTGCAGTGAGCGGCCGTCCAGAAGCCGGCAGCCTCACCCGGGAAGAGTGCAATGATGGTGCCAACTTGGGCCAGTGAAGCAACGTCCTCCACAACTAGACTGAAGAACAAAATGACAGCAACTTGTCTGTTCCCCTTCCCCCAATTCCCCAGTGCTGTTCTTATTCCCCAATAAAAAAATTTTAAAAAACCCCACAAAAAACTTCTAAAAAACTGCTTTCTTCATAAATTTAGCATACATTTTTAGTAATCAGTACATTTAAGTACACCATGCTAGCCACTCTCATATTTGTGGACATGAAATATTAAAAGCTTTATTTGAATTTTTTAGATTGAGCTGAAGTGAAGTTGTATTATTACACTTGGTTCTCATGTGGATTTCAGCCTAAGACCGTGTGTATGTAAAAGAAAAAAAACTGACTTAGAAGCTTGAGATTTGTGCACAAGCATCAATTTTCTCCTGCCAAAAGCCCAAGAAACTAATGCTAAAATATATTTCTTGAGTTTCTTTTTTAATGGGGGGCAGGAAGGATGCAAGGAACTGAACTAAAATAGGTTATATAAAGAATATTTTAATGACCACGAACTTGTGTCTAAAAATGACAGCAGATACGTACACATTTTAACAGAAATTTTTTACCACAGAGTTTTTAAAGAGTGCAGTATTAAAAATCTACTTGTTTACCTTCAATTAAAGTATATTTTCAATCAGATTAAGTCTGAAAATAATATTTTCAAAATAAAAAGACATACATACCTCTAGGTACTGGTAAAATACTGAAAACAGTGGCCATGTCCTCCCAAGCAGAAGAGCTAACATAGATTTAGCAGTATCAATATCAAGGCTTCTCTGATCTTTATCCTAAAATATAAGTAAAATATAAGTGTGGCCTCAAGATTAAGAAAAAATGTTAAAATTACAAAACATGGAAATTCCACCTACCCTTGCAAAATCAAAGGCATATCTGTAGATATTCTTAAATGAAGAAATATCATTCAACTGTGAGCGCAGAAAGTCAAATTTGTTCTGTAACTTTTCTGTGCAGTCACACCTTAAATTTAAAAAATCAAACAGATTATATAATCAAGAAAATTAAATAAAAGCATCTTTAGCAGGTTAGAAGAAATGCATTAAGAAAAAAAGTGAGGGTATTTATGAAGTTAATTTAGGCTTAAAGTTTTCTGATACAAAATTTAGTATAACAAACTTGTTTTCTTATCTACCATTACAATAAAAAAAAAGAAAAAGAAAACCTGGAGCTCAATGAACTCATTCCAATGACTTTTCTTAAAAACAAACAAAAACTCTCAATAAAAAACTCCAATAAAATCACAAATGTCTCTTAAAAAGAGATGTATTAAAATGTGCTTTTACCACATACATAGTAAAAAAAATAGCAGAACGAATGAAGTTAATCAGGCCTCTGTCACAAATTTCATTGGAAAGCTCTTAGGCACCAGCTTGGTGGAACATTTTCCATGAATGGTTTTAAAATTTAAGATATAATACTGAGGAAATTAATACATTGCACTAGTGGTTCAGTCATAAATTCAGGTTCCTACATTTTTAGTGAACAGAAAGTCAAGGTAAATCAGTGCCAGCACCTGACTTCGAATAAGGTACACATGCAAAAGAATGCAAACAAGTTATACATGCTATTTCTAAAGATAAGATTAAATATGAGAAGCTAAAAAGATGGAATGCTGAAAAATTTTACTGACTGCCTGACTCTCACTGGGTTGATTGATATATTCCAGTATTTAACAAGAAGCACGGCAGATGAAGCCTTTCACAATTAGCCCAAATCTCTTATTACAACCCTGCCAGGTTCCAATATTCTTACTATGCTCTAGTTACATTTCACTTACCATTCCCAAATGCCACAACTATGCTTTAGTACATATTATTTTCTTCTACTTGAAATACTGTTCCAACATTTTCATTAAATTACTCATCAAAACCTCACCTGAATTTTGCCATCTCTGAGAGACCACCTGACGCCCTTCAATCAAATTAGTTGTGCTATCTACTGTGGCCCACAGTTATATCACTCCAAACTGAATTTCAGTACTCATCATGTAGCATAGACACATAGCATTCTCAGATGTAACTAAGACTTTCACTATTCTAAATCAACAATGTGATATGTAGTAACTTATAATTTTATTAAGGGGTTAAATATTTTGAATAAATTTCTACTGATGCTTAAATTTTGCATTCTCAGAATAAGCCAAATTTGGTCCTGCTACCTGTTAATACATTGCTAGATATTTTTGCTATGTTCCTAAGTGAGACTGGCTTGTAAATTTCATTCTTTTACCTTCTCGTTGCTAGTTCTAACATAAGTCTCAGGAATAAAATGAGTATTACCCTTTTTTCTGTTTTCTGAAAAAGTTTACTCAACATTGGAATTAGCATTTGTCCAAATTCAGCTGAAAAATGACCAGGGCCTTTTCCTTGAGAGAAGAAAAGACTTTTAACTACTAAATCAGCATTTTTAATGGTTATAGGACCATTCAGACTTTCTATTTCTTTTTGAAACAGTTCTGGTCATTTATATACTTTTCTGATAATTTATTTCACACAATTTTATTTAAATACATCAATTAAAATTATATATAACATTTTCTAATATGCATTATAATGTATTTTTGCCTTTTCTTTGCTTTTCTTACCCATCTTACCAAAATTTCTCAATTTCCTCAATTTTAGCTTTGCTTTTTATTTTACTAATGTCTGGACATCTTTTTATATCCTTTTGTCTTCTTTCTTTGGGTTGATCCTTTTTCTAACTTCTTAAATTAGGTATTTGGTTTCAGGCTTTTTTGTCTTTTAAGGCTGTTACAGATTTCCTTCTAAGTACAATTTAGCTTCAGCCACAGTTTTGGTAAGTATATTGCTTTAACTATTCACTTATAAATGACGCCTTGAGAAGTGACAGAATAGGTTTAAGAGAGAATGAGAAGAGAGGAACTGGAGAAAATAAATACAGACAAGTGCTTTCAAAGCGTTTGGTTCTGAAAGGGGGCCGAGAAAAGAGGAACTAAGTAGAGTGGGATGAGGGGCAGAAGGTTTGATGCTTTTTTGTTTTAATAAAGAAATAACTTCTGCTTTCAGGAAGATGAAGTAAATGTACTTTTCTCTATCTCTCCTAATTCAACTAAAAGCCCTAGACATTATATATAAAACAATCATAAGAAGACTCTGAGGAACAATACAGTAGTGAGTTCCCAGGGTTTTCTTTTTGACTCATCAATCCTAGACTTGGGGCTAAAAAAGAGAGCAAACCAGAAATGCCAAGGGGGGGCAGACAAAAACATATCAACAAAAGCCTTCTTTCCCTGTAGCTAAAAGCAAGAGCAGCCTAGCAAGACAAAACATTTAGAAAACAAACAAACAAACAAAACACTTTTCCAGTCAAACACCATAGAAAAACTTTGGCTCAAGCCTCTCCAATGCCAGCAAAGACTGAATGGGGACCTCAATGGTCCATCTTCACCAGTATATGAGACCCGTCTCAACTCCTGCAGTGTCAGTGGAAACCACATGGGGAACATTAACTTCTACTGCCACCAAGTAGCAAGAAGCAGTCAATCCTCCTCCGCCCCAGAGTAGTGTCAAAGGAGGGCATGTGAAGAGCCAGGGCTTTTAACATCACCGCAGGAACAAGGCCACCATCCTAGTAGTGTCAGCGGAGACTTCATGGGGAACAAGAATGTATCAGTGGAACCTAGTGGGAACCTGGAGCTCTCATGCCTGCCAACAGTCATGAGAACCGCCCTCCAAAGATGTCAATGGATGAAGAGCAGGGGCCTTCAATTTCTACCTGCATCTGGACTAATGAGGCAGTAGCCCTCACATCTCCTGCTGAAGTGGTGTTAGAGGAAGCTAGCTAAAACAGAGGGTTTAAATAAAATCCAGAGTTTCGTTAACATAATACTCAACATTTCCAGGTTTTAATAAAAAAGTCACGTGTCATACCAAGAACCAAGATCTCAAAGAAAATGCTAAATGAAGTCAATAAATGCAAACAGCGAAATGACAGAGATGTTTAGATTTGACACAGATTTTAAGGCAGCCATTATAAAAATGCTTTAATAATCAATTGTGAACACAATAAAACAAATGAAAGGGTAGAAATTCTCAGCAAAGAAACAGAAGTCTAAAGAAAGAAATATAACATATAAAAAATAACCAAATGGAAAAATTTGAATTGTAAAATACAAGGCAGGCTTAAGCCCTAATATATCAATAATTACATATAATGTAAGAAGTCTAAATATTCCAATTAGAAGACAGAGATGGACAGAGTGCATATATATATTAAAAAAACAAACCACTATATCTAGTTAAGTTATTTCTAGATAGTATAAGCTATCTAGAAAGAAGAAACTGATTTCAAATATGACATATAGGCAGACTGAAAAATACAGGCGGTAAAAAAACGGAAAATGACATACTGTGGAAACATTAACAAAAGAAAGAAACAACTATACAAGTATTAATATCAGCTAATGTAGACTTCAGAGCAAAAAAGTTATGAGAACAAAGAGAAACACTACATAATGAGATAAAGGTCAATCCATCAAGAAGACATAATAATCCTAAATGTGTATGTACCAAACAAGAGTTGCAAAATATATAAGGCAAAACTTATAGACTTGAAAGGGTAGACTTGAAATCCAATAGTTACAAATTTCAATAACACTCTTTCAGCAATAGATAGCACAACTACACATATCATCAGCAAACATATAGAAGAATTCAGCAACACCATAACCAAAAGGATCTAACTGGTCGTAATAGAACACTCCACTCAATGACAACAAAATACATATTTTCAAGTGTCCACAAAACATAAATCAAAGCAGACCGTATTCTGAGCTACAAAACAAACCTCAACAGATATAAAAGAATGGAAATCGTACAGAATATGTTCTTTGGCACAATGAAACCAAACTAGAAATAACAGAAAGATAACAGCAAAATCTCCAAACACATAGAAAGTAATCAACAAACTCCTAAATAATCCACAGGTGAGAGCAAGTCTCAATGGAAACCAAAAAGTATATGGAACTGAATGAAAATGCCAACACAACATACCAAATTTTGTGAGAAACAAGGCAGTGCTGAGAGGGATATTTATAGCACTAAATGGAACCATCAGAAAACAGAAAAAGTCTCAATTAATAACAAAGCTCCTAACTTTAGAATCTGGAAAAAGAAGAGCAAAATAAACCTAAAGGAAGCAGAAGAAAGTAAACAATTAAGAGCAGAAACCAATAAAATTGAAAACAGGAAAACAAGAGAGAAAAATCAATGATTCGGAAAACATCGATATAACTTACAAGCCTCTAGCAAGAATGACAAAGAAAAAAGACAAAAATTATCAATAGGAATAAAACAATATCATTAGAGACTTGCAGATATCAAAAGGATATAAATTTGACAACTTAGATGAAATGGACCAATTCCTTAAAAAACAAATCTACCACAACATACACAATATGAAATAAATCATTTGAGTAGCCCTATAACTATTTAAGAAATTGAATTCAAAATTTTTAGAACTTCTAAAAAAGAAATCTTCATATGGTTTCACTGGAGAGTTCTACCAATCTTTAAAGACCAATTCTACACAACCTCTTTCAAAAAACAAAATATAAGGAAAAACTCCCCAATTCATTATAAAGCCAGTATTACCTTGACACCAAAACCAAAGACTATTAAAAAAATCATCACAAGAAAAAAAATTGTAACTATGTACAGTGACAGATGTTAACTAGACTTATTGTGGTAATCATTTTGCAATGTATACAAATACTGGATCATTACGGTGTATACCTGAAACTAATATAATGTTACATGTCAATTATATCTAAATAAGTGAATAAATAGAAAAGAGAAGAAAATTACAGACCAATATTCCTTATGAATCCTTAACAAAATATTAGCAAGTAGAATTCAGCAGTATATAAAAATAAGTATACACCATGACAAAGTAGGATTTATTCCAGGTATGTGAGACCAATTCAATATTAAAAACTCAAC